ATGGAATATAATGTTTGAGTTTTTTTGAAAAAATATCCATTTTATTATCAAAGATAAATTTTACAGTGCTAGAAAGCTTTCTGTTCTAATTTAACTAATTTCATGATATAAAGAAATAGAGTACTAAAATTTTTCTCATCCTATTGCCTGCTTCTCATTTGTGTATTCAGTAAAACCCTTGTGGTAAGACTGATTTTCAAAGCTTAATATGTATTGAACATTATCTGAATCGACTGAATGTTTTAAGGTGTGTAGTACGTTTATTCAATTCAACTGTGATTTTATTTTTATTAATTTTGTTTTTAGTTTATAATACCTGCCAGTAGCATCATCTATTATTCAAAGGCTCTGTTTAGCACTTTGAAGAATAGTTGCAGATGCTTTGCAGTGGTTAGATATTTTATCCCTTTGCTTTTATTTTGCTACACACAATATAGTCAAACATCTCTTTCTAGCTTAACTGAATTTTTTAAGATTGACAGTGCCAGTGTAGCAAAAGGATAAAAACCAGCTGTATATCCTAAAATTGAGGAAGGGTTAAGTATACATGGGAGGTGGAATAGAGAAAAATTATAAGTAAGTCTGTTACTCAGAAGAATATTGCTGAAACCTCTTCTTTTTTGTTCCTAATGAAGTGCTAAACACCAAATCGTGTTTTATAAATCTCAGCAACTTCATGTATAGTTTTAGCTCGTTTTAAAAGGTAGTTTATTTATTGTCCATGGTATTAGTGAAACACCTTCAATTCTAATTCTGTTCAAAAACAGTGCTGGAAAGAAAGCTATTACCTGGAGAAGTTAGGCGCAGTTTTCTTTGGCGAAGACTGCGATTTTTCTCATTACCTTCTGTCAGACTTTGCTTTCTCTCCCTGCTCTCTCCTTAAGCACTAGCTGCCCTGAGGGTGTCTCCACTGCAGTCCTTTCCCGAGACCAGTGGTCCCGACTTGATGTGGAGAGATGCCTGGGTTTAAAGCTGCTGACCCATCTCTGTCCTGATGGTTCCTTCTTTGCTTGTACAATGTCTGTCTGTTTGAGGAGCTCAACAGTGATGCTTTTAAAAATTACCTGTATTTTAACGGAATGTTAACTTTTCCATGTAACTCTTGGTCAATTTCCCACTTTACTTTCATTTTTTCAACTTACTTCTTGTCAGCTGCAGACAGATGTTAGTGACCAAACAATCTACCATGGGTTCTGTTCTCAGCAAAAAGACATTGACTCCTCCCACACATAACGAATCAATGTGTCATTTTCCAGGGCGTCAGAGACTGATCCCTGTATGTTGTTACTGAAGCTGTTGGATGTTAAGACACGTTGAGTAAATGTTGACTGTTATTTCTGGTAATTTTGCTGATAGGAATCTTTCCTTAAAATCAACCGGCATCATGTTAACCACCTTCCCCGTGTTTTTATTAGGAATTACAGGACCGCCTATAACCTTGTACATGAATTGAGAGCCCATGAAACTAACATTCTGGAAATTAAGACCATGGCAGGATTTACAAACTACAAGGTAATAGTTCCACTTCCAAGAGTAAGGAATATTTGGCTTTAAATATGGGATTGTCCACTTAAGATTTGAAAATCCTGATGAGTCACTTGCTCTGAAAAGTGATCACTTGATAAACTGTTCTGGGCACTCAGTCATGTCCGACTCTTTGTGACCCCTCTGGACTGTAGCCTATCAGGCTCCTCTCTCCGTGGAATTCTCCAGGCAAGAATACCGGAGCGGGTTGCCATTCCCTTCTCCAGGTGGTTAATTCTGTTCTGTCCCATTATGTCCCTTATCTCAAGGGCTGCCCTGGTTCTTAGCAGCCTAATTGTAATGCTTGGTTATGAGCTATGGGTCCCAGAGTTCTCATTTAGAACAGTTTTATCTTTGTAAAACTCCTTGAGGAGGGTCTTTTGTTTTTAAGTGGGCGCAGGAGACAGTGAGAAGAAAGCTGCCTATAGTACTGAATTTTAAAAGATGCAATCTATTAGAACTGGGTAAGCCTTCTTTGGTGTAATGGCATAGGTCCAGAAAAAGTCTACTTATTCCCCTTAGAGAAGACTTTTATACCTGTTATGTGAGCACTTTAAGATTGTATATGGTAGGAGTAGACGCCTCTGGAAGGTAAGAGAGGCTGTGTGTTTGCTTTTCATCTTTCTGCAGTCATCTTTTAAAGAGGCTGGCTCTGGGTTAGTGATGTGAGGGCAGACAGACACTCAGTTCATTACTCGTGTAGGTGTAGATTGGTACACCTTCTACAGAAACTATTTTTTTGTAATGACTGTGAAGATTTAAATTTGCACATTCCTTTTGACCTAGCAATTCCATTTCTGGGAATTTATCCCACGTCTGTGCTAAGACTTACAAATCACGTGTTTGAGGATATTTATTGCATCTTGTAATAAGAAAAGATTGGAAACCCAGCAGTAAGTGATTGGTCAACATAAATAACTCCGAACAATGAAATACACAACTATTAAGAATGAGGCAGCTCCGCATATTGAAATGGAATGATATCGAAAATATATTGGTAGGTGAAAAAAGTGAGGCACAGAACAGTATATTTAGTGAAATGCTATTTGTATGAAAATAATATTAATAGTTCACATGTCAATGCATGCACATACTTGTCTGAGCATAGACTATACCACAAATGCCAGGAGCTTGTTGCCTTTAGAGGGGGAAATTGGATCCCTGAGGGACAGGGATGGATGAGAGATACAACTTTTCATTTATCCCTTTTTACCTAAAAAATAAAATCAAAACTGCTAATAAGTATGTGAGCTTCTCAGGTGGCTCAGTGGTAAAGAATCTGCCTGCCAAGCAGCAGACTTGGGTTCGATCCCTGAAGCGTCCCTGGAGGAGGGCATGGCAACCCACTCCAGTATTCTTGTCTGGAGAATGCCGTGGTCAGAGGAGCCTGGCCGGCTACAGTCCATGGGGTTGCAAAAGAGTTGGACGTGACTGAGTGACTAAGCCACAACAGTACGCATGTACAAATAAATCTAGGCCTTGTTTCTTCTTTTTTTTTCATTTGCCCCACATATGTATAGATTATTACTTTGAAATAGTATCCCAGAGAAAAATTTTTCAAGAATTTCTGTAATCCTTCTTTGATACAGAGGCTACTGTGCTTCTATTGTGCTGCACGGTATCTTTCGCTTTCTGACAGTTCTAAAACTGAAAGTTCATCTGTCCTTTCTCAGTTACCTGTGGGAAATATTTTATTTTTGCCCATCTTTATGCTCTTCACTGGGCTTAATATTTCCTTATGCTATATACCTTAAAACTTTCTAAGGTATAGAATAGATTCACTACAAATAGTGAATAATTTTATTTCATTAATCGATGGGACATAACCTTTTTAGATAACTTTTCTAACAGAGAAAATCAGTTCTATTGTACTTCAATTCTAGTGAACTTCAGAGATGGACATTCTGTAGTTTTTTTAAAGTTAGTCTCAAATTTTATATACTTTTAAATAAACACACTTTTGAGTTTGGGTTTCTTCTTGACTTCAGTGTTGGGTTTTACATCTTGCAGATCTGTAGGTTGTGTTTTCAACACAACACGCCGCTGGATGCAATCGCTCAGTTCCGCAAGCATATTGACTTGTGTAAGAAGAAAATCGGAAGTGCAGAGTTGGCTTTCGAGCACGCAGCATGGATGTCTAAACAGTATGTTTTAAATTTGATTTTCAGAATTTTTTTTTAATCAAATTCTTGGAATTGGGAGGGATGGAGTTAGCATGGACTTTGGTTTTAAACCACACTAAGATATTTGTCAGTAAGTAGGTTTTTAATGATCCAGCATGTTTGGTGTAGTGGCAGATATTGATTCATACAGTTCCTTAATGGGAATCAGCTGCTTACTGGTCCCATTTCTTTCATTCAACACACACACACACACACAAATATATCAAGTTTCTCATGTGTCCAGACACTGAGAATATAGCAGTGAATAGACAATATCCCTACTGATATGGAATTTGCTCTCTGAGACTGATGAGAGAAAATTGCTAAAATGAAAAATTTCCCAGACACATGGATGTATTTGAATGGTTGGAACCATGTTGACATCTGGTTTGATGATACATTAATAAAGACTCGCTAGCATGGGAGAGTTGACTTAGAGAATTTTTCTGTAACCTACAATCACTGTGTATTAGTGTTTACAAAGCAGTCCCCACAGTTTACAGCTCACCAGTGACATTTTCTGGATACAATCTTCTGAGGTTATGGTTTCAGGATGAAAGACTAGTATTAATAGAAGTAAGCTTCTTTNCCCCCCGCCCCGAAGATTCCAGGCCTTCGGAGATTTATTTGATGAAGCTATTAAGTTGGGGTTGACAGCTATTCAGACTCAGAATCCTGGTTTCTATTATCAGCAGGCAGCGTACTATGCCCAGGAGCGGAAACAGCTTGCCAAAGCCCTCTGTAACCATGAAGTAAGTCACCGACTCTTGTATTACCTGGCAATTAGGAAGTTTAGTAACCTTCTCTTGAAAGAGGATAAAGCTGATTGGTGTTGATACTTTTTTTCCAAGCCTTTGCCTATAACAAGTTTTTATCGTTGATATTTTCAGGAATTAGGATTATTTTCAGCTTTAGCCTGAGTACTCTGTTTTCACCGATGAACTAAGCAGACATTTTTCTTTGAAGAACTGATTTTTGATTAGCCATAAGTTAGTGATTTTGACCAGGGAAAGTTGCTTTAAAATGAAAGCCACAGTTTAGTCTTTGCCACACTGTAAATTCATTGTTTTGCAGTTTGAAGGACACTGAGCAATATGCTTTATTTTGACCCAGTGGAGAGGACGTCACTGGACTTCTTTCTCTTCCTGGAGTTCTCCTCCATGGAAAACTCCAAAGAATCTATTTAGGTGTATTAATTGCATGGTTTTTTAAACTTGACATTTTATTTTGCCTTTCTCTTGCATGTTTATATTTAAATACCAATTACTCCATAAGCACCTTTTAAAATAAAAATATAGTATGTGTATATGTGTATATACATAGATAGAGACACTTACATTCATATAGTTATATCATTTTATTTTCACTTCAAGTCTCAAAATTCTTCTCTGAAGATAGGTGAATTTAAACAGCAGTGCTACTTAAAAAGCTGTTCAGAAAAAAAAAATAATTTGCTTATTAGTACTTTAAATGTTTGAATTTTTTCCCCTTAAATAACATAATATACCAAGACACTTTTCTACCATGTTATTTGTATGTGATGTATAATTTCATTGTATGTTTTATATTTTTAAAGTTTGTCATATTATCATCTGAGCACAGTATTTTAAAAGGCCTCGTCAGGATATGTGTAAACAGGCATTTGCAAATACTGGCTGGAGTATAAAATGATAACTTCTGTCAAGTAATTATATTTCTGTCAAGTAATTACTTTTGTCAAGTAATTTAAAAACCGTGCCTACCTTTTGACCTGGAATTTCATATTCAGGAAGCCTAAAGCAGATAAGGGATCCTAAGAGATAAGTTTTAAGAGTTATTTATAAAACTGTTCTGACAGATTTATTAATTGTAGTGCAAAGTAATAATAATCTAAACAACTATAGGGAATCTGTTAAAATGTGGAATAGCAGGCAGCCATGAAAAATAATGTTTTGGAAGAATATTCAGTGATATGGTGAGATACAGGAAATGTCTTTAAATGGAAAAAGTAGGTTGAAAAATTATTTCAGCTGATGACAAGTAAACATTCACATATAAAATCTAGAAGAATAATGCACACACTCTTAATAGTGGTGGTAGGTCTACACGTAATTTAAATTTTTATCCTTTTCCTTTTGGAAGTTTTATTTTTCAACAAAAACTCATTACATTTTGGTTTCAGAGGGGAGAAGTTTATAAAAAAAAAAAGGAAAGCAGCATAAATTTGTGAATCCTGGTGCCAAAAATATCCTTCCTCCACCAATATCAGGACTTAATACACTTGCGAAAAAAGAAAATCATATCTTTTTAAAAAAAACTTCTGATAACATTTTTATTTGCCCCAAAATATATATGGTTTAACTATCAAGTTTCATTTGTAATATATTTTTACTTGTTTATAAATAAAAAGAAAATGTAGAGAAGTTAGTTATTATGAGATCGTTTGTTAGAATCAGGTTGGCTTATTCAGTTTTATTTTTATGAGACTACCTGACCCCTCCCAGAATTCTTGCCTGGGAAATCCCGTGGACAAAAGAGCCTGGCAGGCTATAGCAAGGAGTTGGACACGACTTAGCAACTAAGAACTCAGATGCAATATTAAACAGTTTTTGTTTAATTTTGTGAAAGTTCAGATTGTTTTAAAATAGTCACAATTTTGATATTTAAGTGTGTGGTTTGTATTTATGGAAGCTTTTCTGTTCTGACAATGATTGGGGAAGAGTTGGTTAGTGACGGGTTGTGTAAACTTATTCAGGGCTGTGTTTTAACTTACAGGCTTCTGTAACATATCCCAGCCCTGATCCCTTAGAAACACAAGCAGGCGTCCTTGACTTCTATGGACAACGATCATGGCGACAAGGAATACTCAGTAAATAACTTTTCCTTTTCCCTTTTTTGTCAATCTCGAAAGGCAAGAGATTGCTATTATAATTTTTCCTTTGGCTTCATTAGTATAACAAATTGTGTTGAGGTAGAAATATTTGCTTTTTATGCATTCTTTAAAATTGAAGTACAGTTAATTTACAATATTGTGTTTCTGCTGTCCAGTAAAGTGAGTCAGTTATACATATACGTATATTCAGTCTTTTTTAGATTCTAAACATTTTTTTAAGATTTACTTTTTAGAATGCATTGTTTCTATCACTGCATCTTAGAGTAACATAGCTAATGATGTGATCAACACATTTGGACATCTGTTGTCTTAAACGAAAGAATTTAGTAAGCCACTGTGGCCAATTTTTAGATTTGACACTTTAAAACATTACTTGTACTACCTTAAAAATAATTTCTCTGCATCTTTCTTGTTTTATACACACTTAATTGGAGCAATTTCTGTGGCCATTAAACTTAAAGTGTTAAGAAATCATTTACTTTGGGGGAGGATGGATACATGTATACGTATGGCTGAGTCCCTTCCGTTCACCTGAAACTGTCGCAATACTGTTAACTGGCTATACCCCAATGCAAAATACAAAGGTAAAAAGAGAGAAATTATTTACTTCGGTCTCTAGGAAATGTATTCTATCTAGATAATGATATCAATACCACTTTTTTTTAATACCACTTTTGAGGTGGTCGCTTCCACTGAGCAGAAGAGTGTTGAGCTCAGCATCGCTCCATTCAGAACAGAGGCCGCACTGAAGATTCTGTGCGATAGAGCCACCTCTCAGACTCTTCAGAGTTCTAGAATGTTGAAGAGGCTGAAGTACATTATAGTAAAGGACTCAAGGAGTGTACACATCCAATGTCCCTGTGAAGGATTTGTGTTCAATGAGCTCTCTGAAATGGGCTGTGTCCTCTCTTACACAGGTTTTGATCTTTCTGATCCCGAGAAAGAGAAGGTGGGGATTCTTGCCATTCAGCTGAAGGAGAGAAGTGTTGTTCACTCTGTGAGTTTTCTTTTGTTTTTTCCCAACACAGACTGTATTTTCAAGGAAAACATGAGATTATTTTTATTGGAACGTTTCACACTTAATCTTTCCCAACAGGAAGTAATAATAACTCTTCTGAGCAATGCCGTTGCGCAGTTTAAGAAATACAAGTGTCCAAGAATGAAGAGTCACCTGAGTGCGTATCCCTGACGTGCCGCTACTTCATGGGGCTTCCGAGTGATTTCAGATTCGTTTCATGCAATCTTTTTTTCCTTTATAGTGGTTCAAATGGGAGAGGAATATTACTATGCAAAGGATTATACCAAAGCTTTGAAGTGAGTCCTGTTCACTATTTTTGTAAGCGTTCTGATTCCCTTGCAGCTAAATGACAACGGAAATTTATATTGGAGGATTTATTACTTCTGTGTTTATTCCCACTTCTATTAAACACCATTTCTGTGATTTTTTTTTAAATTTCAAGTAATGTCTATTGGTACAGTCCTTTTCAGAGTCTTAGCAAACCTCACATATATTTAATGTGAAAATACCTGTTGAACTATTTCAGGAAGATTTTTCTGAAGTTTACATAAAATGAGTAAAGCATTTTCTTTTAGTTTCTTCACGAACTCTTTCTACACTGCCTCATGAGGCTGGCTCGGTGTGTCTGACATGTTTTCCTCTGTCAGGTTGCTAGATTATGTGATGTGTGATTATCGGAGTGAAGGGTGGTGGACCCTGCTCACATCTATACTGACCACGGCTCTCAAGTGTTCCTACCTCATGGCCCAGCTGAAAGATTACATCACTTACTCCCTGGAACTCCTAGGGAGAGGTAATGACATCCTTTGAGTAAAATCTGGAATCTTAACAACTGCAGAGCCTCTTTAAGCTTCTTTTAAATTGGAAGAATAATTCAGTATCAAATATCTGATAGTACTTGAATGACCCGCCGGTCACTTTGCTGAGAGAAGGGGTTTATACTTTAATGGAACTTATTACAGTTGAAGGTCTTACTGTAGTTGAGAAGAACAGATTTCTTCTGCCTTACTTTTCAAACTATGGTGTAAAATAATTTTTCATGTAAGAGTTCAAACTCACATACATAAAGTTTGAGGCTGATTTAGAAAGCTGAGCTGTCAGTTTTCTGGAATTGTGCTTAGCCATCTTAGAAGAGATATTTATCTACAGTATTTTAATACCTGTAGGGAGGTTATTGGGCTTACTTGGGGCTTACCCCCCTAATACCTATATGGGGTCACAGGCTTACTTGCCTGTCTTATAGTTCTGATTTTTTCTTCTTCCTTCCTATTAGCTTCAACGCTGAAAGATGACCAGAAATCTCGGATAGAAAAAAATCTCATAAATGTTTTAATGGTAGGTTGGAACTCTTTATATATAAAATCTGTATCTAGAAATGTGTATTTTTTTATAATTAGCTAAACAAATGTTTAACTCCGTGTTGATGCAGAATGAAAGTCCTGATCCTGAACCTGACTGTGATATCTTAGCTGTGAAAACTGCTCAGAAACTGTGGGCGGACCGAATCTCTCTGGCTGGCAGCAATGTTTTCACAATAGGCGTACAGGACTTTGTGCCATTTGGTGGGTAACCAGCATCTTTAGTATTATCTTAGAGAAGTTGCCCATTTTCTAAGAAATAAATAGATTCAGAATAATAAATACAAAGTCAAAGAAAGAATTTTCCAAATACAGTCATTTTGTAGATAAACCTGGTTTATTTTTTATTTTTTTTACTTTCGCCATCGACATACAAGGATGGTCAGAATTTTAAATACTTAGTTTAGGTCTTAAAATTTTCTGCTGTGTTCATTCTTCGTTCAGATGTTATTTGAAACACATTTGAAAAGACAGTTATTTAAAAGGTTTATGCTTTCCTGTCTCAGTGGGTGTTTTGAAATAAGCTAAAAATAACAAAATGGTTCTTTTTTCTTTAAAACCATATGTCAGTTATATTTCAGGAGCAAGCGTGCTTTTAAAATTAAAGAGGTTTTTGAGGTAGAATTCATTTAAATTTTTTTTAAAGAGTGAACTGCATTTATGTCTGTTGAAATGCTTCAAGTTCAGGAGTCAGTTAGAATAACCAGAAGAGATGTTTCCTTTCTGAAGAGCAGATGTAGGTCGGAGAGAAACATGCGTGGGGCTAGCACGTCTGGTGGAGTCTTACTTGGCCCGTTTTGTTTTGTTTCTAGTGCAATGCAAAGCTAAGTTCCACGCCCCAAGTTTTCATGTCGATGTTCCTGTGCAGTTTGATGTTTATCTGAAGGCTGATTGTCCACATCCCATTCGGTTTTCTAAACTCTGTATCAGCTTTAATAATCAGGTAATGGTAGCTTTTAATCTGATTTTTACCATGTATGTATTGTATTGTAACTTGCATTAGATAAAGTAAAATGAACTTCGTGAATTTTAGGTCTTAGTAGGTTTCTCACTAACAAGTGTTTGATAAAGTCTATCTAAAAATAAGTGTATTTATAATTTTCAACTTCTGTTTCCGCAATGCAAGTTTTACAGTTTTCCTATTCTAATTTTTGTTTTCACTTCCTGCTTAGGAAACCTATGAACTTTGTCTGTACATAGAGAAAAGTTTTATAATATGTAACTTGAATTTCAAGATATATTCAGAATGAATGTGATCAGATTTTCAAAATCATTTGTTTTATTCTAACATTAGTATTAGCTTTTCATTATAAAACTGTTATCTTTTTTATTTTAAAGAAATGAAAGTTGAATAGATGGACATAAAGTAAATATGTAAATGTGCTCTTCCAGTTTCATTCCTTTGGGGGCATCACAGTTAACTTCTCAGATAGTCGAAATATCGTATGGCGCCCATATATAAGCAGCTTTTTTTCTACAGAATTGGGATAGTATATTTCTCACATTTGAACATTTTTGTAGTGTGATGTAGGCAAGTGCTTGAGTACATCCTGTTTCAGTTATAAGCCCACTTCTAATTTTCTGGTGACCCAGAAAGTACGTGAAGCTGTTAACCAGCACGCATTTATTGAGAGTTTCTATATTCTGAGCATCGTGGTGAACCTGAGAAAGTTCAGTGTATGTCAGCCCCATTAAGAAGCATTTTGAGAGCAAGGGCAGGAGCAAGCCTGGGTCACTTGAAGATTAGTATGTTTTATTCAACTACAAACCATTACCCAAGGATTCCTTCTGATTAATTGGAGAATCTTAAAGCAATAGCATGAAATTAATGTGTAAGAAACGTGAACCATGATCCTCACTCTTGTCTTTTCCAGGAATACAACCAGTTCTGTGTAATCGAAGAATCATCCAAAGCAAATGACGTTTTAGAAAATTTGACTCAAGGCAAGATGTGTTTAGTTCCTGGTAAAACAAGGAAGTTTTTATTTAAGTTTGTTGCAAAAACTGAAGATGTAGGAAAGAAAATTGAGGTTAGTTATAAAATGTGTTTAAAAAATATTTTCAATGATATAAGTAATAATGAATATGCATCAGAAAGAATTTCAATAATACTTAGGTTTATTAAGTTAAAAATGAAAATCTTCCATTTGGATTTACCAAGGGAAATCATTCATTACAGTTTTTTGATAGATTTCCTTTCAGTGAGAATATATTATACATAATATTTGGTAGTTGGCTTTAAATTGCTAGATAGTGTTGTGTTAGACATCACTTCCTGTTAACACATGAGACCAACCTTATTTTTAATGCCTGTATAATCAGTTGAGGAATTTTAAACTATATATATCATGTATATCTGTGTGTATATATTTTTTGTAATGTGGGCTTCCAGGTGGCACATAGGTAAACCATCTACCTGCCAACACAGGAGATGTAGGAGATCTGGGTTTGATCCCTGAGTCAGGAAGATCCCCTGGAGGAGGAAATAGCAACCCACTCCAGTATTCTTGCCTGGGAAATTCCATGGACGAAGGAGTCTGGTGGGCTATAGTCCATGGAGTCACAAAGAGTCAGATACAACTGAATGACTGAGCGCAAGCATTCTATAACGTAACAATTATATTTTGTAAAATACAACATAATTCACGCTAAGGTGTGATACCATTTTGATGTTTAAACATTGCTAATTTCATCGTTTTAAAAAGATAGGTACTTTAAAGGATTCATTTAATGTAGATAATTAAAATGTCTTTCAGAAATACATGATGAAACTCATTTTTATTGAGCATAAACTTTGGAGCCAAACTCCACGAGTTTCAGTTCCCGCTCTCCAGCTTACCTGTTTGTGGCCCTGGGCAGTTACTTGACCGCTTTTATCACAGTTTATTCATCTGTAAAGTGGGGATAATAGTGTTACCTCCCTCTTAGTGTTCCATGAGGATTAAATCAGTTAGTGTAAATTTCCTGGAACAGTGATTAGGATGGGGTAAGCCTCTCAGGAAGTGTTGCTTTCCCATGGCTGGAGTGGGACAGGTAAGCTAATCTGAACTTGGGACCATTCCTAAGACAGAAACATAAGACGGCACCCCCAGGCTTCCCATAGCAATTTTTGTGAATCTGTTTATTATATAATCTGTAAACCAGTATCTAGAGTTTTTGCTTATTCATTTAAAAAAATTCTTCTTGATTTTGACTAAACCCCTAATGTCATGTTTTAATTTTTTACAAGATACCTAAGGAAGTTTTTAAAAAATTTTAACAAGACACCTAAGGAAGCCTACCAGATGCAAGTCAAAATTAACAATGCTATTGAATATATTTGTGAATAGATTTAGTGGAAAGGACCTTTATTCAGTTAGTAAAGCATTTCCTTGCTTGTACTGTTGATGTCGTCAGGAAAAGTCCGTGTGGAACTAGGAGTTAGGTTAGGAGGAGGTGAGTGGTTACTGGGACATTCGTTAATTTCACCCAGCAGCCACTGCTTGCGTGTCTGTCCCTCGGGCACCACCCAGGTGCTGCGGTAACAGCGCCGCACTGTCACGTCTCGGCTGGAGAGCCGGGTTATTGTCCTCGTGTGA